ATGTATGAAGACACAATATAAAACACACCGAAAGAAAAAAAAAAAATTCTTTTTCGTTTTCTCTTTATTTTTGCCCCCCAAGTATCCGCTTATATTAGTGAATTGATTAAGATTATTTTAGAAGCACGTCCTGATAACAGTAAAAGCAGAAACAAAAAATTGGAAAATTTAACCTCTTTGGCGCTGTCTTGCTCTTTTCTCGTCTCTGTCTTGAGAATTTTTTGTATTTTGTTTTTTTTTTTTTCTTTTTTTTTGTTTCTTTGGAGCAATCTTCTTTATTTTTAATTTATATAATTTGCTGTAAACCTTAAAAATTGTAATAAAAAAAAAAAATATATATATAAAAAGAGAAATAAATGAAAATAAATCAGAATACATTTAAAAGATATAAATACATATGAAAATGTTGCAAAAATATTACAAACTTTTGTTTCATTCGATTTGCAGAGTTTTTTTTTTTTGTTTTTCCTCCTTGTTTTTATTACTATAATGTGGCATATCATAGTGCATTACATATTGCCTTCGATATTCGCGTTAGACTATATACTTACGTTATTCCGTCGTTTTGCTAACAATTTCTAAAATATACATATATACCTTAAAATACACCTTTCCTTTTTCCAACACATATAAACACGTATATATATATATATACACGATTAAACACAAAATTATATGGGAAAATAAATGACTGCTTCACTGTGTAAATGAAGCACAAACACATTTTCTTTTTCTACTACAAAATTCGGTTATCGTTATCATTAAGGAGAAAAATAAAAGAAAATATTAATAATAACCATAAAATCATCGATTGTTTTATATGTGCACAAACATTGGCTATCTAATAACAAACACAGCATTTAACATGTATTAAAGTCATTCGCAAATTTATTTAATGGCAATTTCACCGCACGTACGCAGCGCACTTAATTGGGAAGCTTAAAATTAGATTTTTACTTAAAAGCGGAGCAGAGATATTGAGGCAACATGTGTGCTCATGTCATACCTCAAATGCAGCTCTGTATCGCTGTTGAAAACTTTTTCAAATGTTTCAACTCTCAAAGATAGAATTTCTGGGGCGGGGAACGGGTCAATAAGCAAATTCTATGCATTTTTCAGTCAATTTTGCAGATGGCTTTTCACAACCAAAAAAAAAATCTGTAAGGCCCATATAATAAATAATACTCGTACTAAGAAAAAAAAGCTAAATTGTGTATGTGTGTGTGTTTTGGTTGTGCTTTTCTTGAATTATCGCGCGATTGAGAAAAACAAATGTGATTGATGTACAGTTACAGTTACAGCTTACAATTGTAACAAACCGGATGATAGATTTAGAATATTGTCAATAATAAGTTTGTGTGTCAGCTTAAATAATAATTTCTTCGAATTTTGCAACAACAAAATGCATGCAGTCTTAATTTTGTCAACAGCAAATGCATAGGGTACTACTTTTACAATATAAATAATAGCACGTGCAGGGCATACGTAAACAAAAAACAAAAAATGTGAGAAAATATGTGTTGCGAAGAGAGCATTTTGATTTTGCAATGCATTAAAGAGGTCATATACAACTTGTTTCTGAGAGCATTTGGTTGTTGTCTTGCACAAGTGCAGTAATGGAATGGAACAAAATGGAAAAAACTGAATTTATTTTAAAAACTTGGTAATCAAATGGAATGGAACAATGTGTATGCGCGCATCAGTTGAGTTAAACGATATTTTAAAAAACAAGAACCTTTCCATGTTTTTGCCCTGTTTTTTTTTTTTTTTTTTTTTAATTTCTACTTCAATGTGTCGCACTCTACAGAGTGCCCCCGAATGCTATGAATATTATGGGTTATGGGTTTTCTACTCCTTTTTTCAGTTTAGCGAAGAATGCAATCATGTGTGCATTGCAGGAAAAATAAAAGTGGGTTTAC